GCACATGTGTTAGCATATTTTCACAAATATTATCAAGGGTGTTAGCACTCCACTAGATCCTAAATGCATATGCAATGAGTTAGAGCATCTAGTGGCACTTTGATAACCGTATTCCGATACGAGTTTCACCCCTCTTAATAGTACGGCTATCAAACCTAAATGTGATCACACTCTCTAAGTGTCTTGATCACCAAAACAAAATAGCTCCTACAAGTTATACCTTTGCCTTGAGCTTTTTGTTTTTCTCTTTCTTCTTTCCAAGTCGAAGCACTTGATCATCACCATGCCATCATCTTTATCATGCTATGATCTTCATTTGCTTCACCACTTGGAGTGTGCTACCTATCTCATGATCACTTGATAAACTAGGTTAGCACTTAGGGTTTCATCAATTCACCAAAACCAAACTAGAGCTTTCAGAGAGGAGAGAAGGGAGCGAAGGTAGTGCTATGTTGAACGGGGATAGATTTAATTTAGGAGTAAATGACCATTAATTCATCATCCATTATTGTAGTGCTTATCGGAGGGCATACCTGGGGACACGATGAAATTACAACTCGTCCGGAGCTGGCCGGTCACCCCTCTTTTGTAACACCCTAAAATTTGCTCTTTTCGAAAAAGATATAAATTGATTTAATTTCGTATTTTGTGCTCATGAAATATAGGAAAAATAAATATTTTTTATTATATTAAAATTCATCATAAGGAGTAGCAACATGGATGTGCATATATGCCGGTGCATTTAATTTATTACAATGAGTGGTTGAATCCAAAATTCAAAATGAATTCAAATCGCTTTTGAAAGGCTTTGAAATAAAAGAAAAGAAAAGAAAAAAAGAATTGGAAAATAAAAGAGTTTTCAAAAGTTTGCAAAAGTTCAGTTTTGGAGACCTCCCAAAAGTTCTCATCTTGAAACGTATATTTGAAATTATATTTGAATTTAATTGGAATTTGTATTTGAAAATAAAAAAAGAGAAATTCTTCTTCTCCCTCCTCACTCTTTTTCGCGGCCCAGCTTTGCTCCATCCCGCTCGGCTTGCCTAGCTCCCTCGCATTGGCCCAACTCCGCCCTCAGCAAGCGGCCCAGCAACCAAGCTGCGCAGGCCTTCTCCACCCCGAGGCCCAACTCTCCTCTAGGCCCGCCCGCGTGGAGCGCCTCCCTCGCGCTCCCTTGTTGACACCCTGGCCCTGCCTTCTTGCCTCGCTGACGAGTGGGACCCACCTGTCGGCGCCATCCCCTACCTCGAGTCATCATCGCGTCGGACTCTGCCGCCACCAGGACTCCATCGTCGCCCCGTCTTCGCCGCCTTGCCATGCACTCCACGCCTCTCCGCCCCCATAAAAGCCGAGCGCCATGTCCGCCGCCTCCATCCCAAGCCTCGGAGCTATTCACCGCCTTCACCCGAGCCGCTGCAACCCTAGCTGCATCTCGCTGTCGACGCCGCCTGTACCGCCGCATCCCGCGCCGCCTCCATCCTCTTCATGTCACCAAAAAGTGCCGAGGTGAGATCGCCATCATCTCCTCGCTCGCCCCGTGCTTTTGCTTCGTGCTATTGTGAACCGTAGGCCGTTTTCCAAGAACACCGATGAGCTCGGTCGCCGTCGGCCATGTCCACTGCAACCTCCTCTTCGTGTTCCGGCGACGGACACGCCTTCTCTCTCACCGATTTGTTTCCGGCCGTCCAAATCCAGATCAACGGCCTAGATTAGAAGATACTGATTCGCCTGCTATTTTACTAAAGAGACCCTATGTTTTTCGCAAATCAACCCGTCGTCCTGAGTAGTTCAAAAGTAATTAAAAATATGCCCATAGTTTTTATGTTTTGACCCCTGTGTTTTTCTAAAAACGACGTCCGGTCCACAGGACTGTTTTAATTCGGTTTTTAATTATTTTTAATACGAAATTGATTTCAAAATATTTACAGAATTGCAATTGATCTTATTTTATGCGGTTTCTTTGTTTTAACTCTGATTTGATCCATTCAAGTTGCGTTAGATTCGTAATTGAGTAATCTACATGTTCATCATATCGTTAAATATATTTTCAACTTTTGAAATTCGAGGTTAGATTTAATCTATTATTTTATTAAAGAAAATCTTGTTTAATTCATAACTTTTTCGTTATAGCTCTGATTAGAGTGCTTTTCGCGTCTGTGTGTTCGTAGTAACTTGTAGAACATCTTTAAAACCTTTTACCTGTTGTTTATTATGTTTAGTGTATTGTTCTAATTTAGATCTATTATTTGCTTCGTGTATGATTGTATGGATGCTTGTGTGGTGCTTTATGATCATGTCCAGTCGGTGAGCTATACGTGGTGAATCGAGAAGCAATTCATTGAAGGTTTGGACTAGAAGAAGATCAGAGTTTAAGGCAAGTATAGCATGAGATCATCCTTGTTGTCCTATTCACTTTAATATCATTTTAATCATATGCATATGTCTACCTTGGCAACCGTAGTAAATTTTCCTAGCTATTTGATATCTTGGATTCCATGTCATCTATGGGGTATTGCATTGGGTAGTATGATGCTAGTGCTCAAACTAAAGCCATGATCATGTAACTTGACTAATGGATTATGCAATAAACACTAAAGGATGCTTTTTAGCAACGTGGAACAAGGAGGCTAGAGCATTGGGCTGTTTTTATGGTGCACTAGATTCCTCTTCCTAAGGGCTTATCTGTATGTGATCATCCGGGTTTTACAGTACAGCTGTGAGGCCTATATGGCTCTGGCTTTATCTCAGTATGAGAACTTTTTTTAGCTTGTTAGTGATTACCTTTATTGACATAAGAATGGCTTGCCGAATCGGGTATAGTGCGGCCTTTGTCCCCTTGTGTATAGGCGCGTCATTGTGTCATCGGGAAGGGGGCTCTACATCTGTTTGCCGAGTGAATCTAATGACCCTAACTTGTTAGACGAACCTTTAAAAGGCTTCATAGTGAACCCTGCCGACCTTCTATGAAAGTGGGTCAAGAGATTAGCTATTTTGGGTGAAAGGGTAAATCACGACTCACAGTGAAAGTGTACAATCTCTGCAGAGTGTAAAACTGGTATATCAGCCGTGCTCATGGTCACGAGCGGTCTTAGAACATTTACGGAATAGATGATCATTAATGGTGAATGATGATGAATACTGATGATACTGATGATAAAGATGATCACTAATGATTATTGTTTATACTATTCATTATTCATGTTTACCTAATCATGTGTTTATATGGGCTTGTGAATAAACTTGTTGCCACTCAATTGCTAAAAGATGACTCATTAAAAGCTAATCACAATAAAACCAGTGTCAACCTTTTGAGCTTCATGAACCCCATGTTATATTTGTTGAGTACGACATGTATTTACGCTTGCTTTATTTCTTTTAATTATTTGGATAAAAATCCTGGATGGATACCAGATTGCTAGAGTTTGTGATTAACCAGTCAGTTGTCCCTGTAGAATTGGAGTCTTCACCCGAAGATCGGAGTTGTCTTTCCGCTGTTTGCTGTCTAAGGTTATATCCTTTATACTAAGTACGTTATATTTTGAGCATTGTCTGTCGATATTACCCTTATTTGTAGTTATACGTGAGATTTGACTTTCTGAGTTTACATATGATGTATATCTAGTTTTGTTCTTAAAACCGAGTGCTACATCTTTACAGGTACGGGGGTGTTACAGACATTTCACCCCTTCCCCAACTATCCTTTTGACGCTGTCTAGAGTTCCGGTCGTGGGGACCGCAATTCTCCATCTCCCTCCAAACGGCGCGGTGACAAGTGTCGCGAGGGTTCCTTCCGACCGTCAAGGCCCCGTGAAGAGTCAAAGTAACCTTCGCCGGGGAGCCCGTAAAGCGGCTCTACCGTTATCAAAGACGTCCTTTTTTTTTAGTCGCAAGAAAAAGAAGGACGTTCCCCCCAACATGGCCGATGCGGGGGGCTAGAGGCCAGCGGGACGAGGGTCCAGCTCCACCACCGCGGTGAGGGTGGGGTGTCGCGTGAAGGACGTCCCCCGAACATGCTCTACTCGCTAGGAGTACTGCACCTCTCCTGTTCACAATTACAGTGCGCGTACAAGAGCACCCACAACTCACACTCACTAGTAGGTGTACTCTCCTGTTCACAGCGCCCGTGCAGACTACCCACTACTCTACTCTACTGGTACGGTGAAGTTGACAAGACAAGGCCCCGCCCCGCTGGCACTGGCAGCAGGTGCTGCTGAGCCATCGGGAGTCGGGACGGCCGCACGGAAGGCCGTCGTCGCCTCGTCCTGGCGGCGTACTGTACGTGTGCGGTGTCTCGCGTGATGCGTGAACAGGCGAACAGCTGCACTGCACGCCTGCACCGCCGCCTGCTTCTCCCGGATGCCAGCGTTAAGAACCAACAATCATGTGCGCTACGTACTGCACTGCGGAGTGTAATTAGGAGTAGATTGCACTGCACTGTCCAGTAGTACAACCTTTCGCGCACCGTCCAGTACTATTATCGTCGCGGCTGCTGCTCCCGTTCGACACGACTTATGGATACTACGACTAATTTATAGAATTGATTTATTGTGAGAGAAAAATACTATTCTTTAACTGAAAAAATAGAACTGATTCTGACTGATAAGCTCACAGAGGGACTACTATTGTGTCCTCGGGTTTAACTACTATCACAGTTCCTGGGTCCCATCTTAAAGTTACGGTGCACCACACACTCATTGCGCATATACCCCTCTTAAAGCCCTCATGGTAATTGTACCTCAGAATTGTTACTGTGCACTGCTCACTCCGGTTTCAGAAAACAGAAGACAACTTGTTTTCCAATGATGTAAGCAAATACGAGCCCATAGGCTTTTATGCAACAAACTACAAGGATGACGAAGACGCACTGGGCACTGGCTGGCCCAAACCACGTCCAACATGCGCACACAGCCCAGAAACGCAGGCACCGGCAAATGCGACTCGAATCACACAACACAACCATATTTCTCTGCGACCACGACCCGACGGTCTCAAGCAGCAGGCTACTACTGTTTCTTGTCACGCGCCAGAGACTCCGCGATGCCCTTGGAGACGCAGTACGCGGTGGACTGAATGGTGATCATGGGGTTGACGCCCACCGCCGTGGGCAGCAGGCTGCCGTCGCACACGTACAGCCCCTCCGCCTCCCAGCTCTCGCCGCGGCCGTCCACGGCGCCGTCTTGCGGGCTGGACCCCATCCGGCAGCTGCCCATCTGGTGCGCCGAGCAGTGGAGCGCCCACGTGTCAGGCCCCGGGAGCATGGGGCCTTTCCCTACGGTCACCTCCTTGAGGAACGCCTCCAGGTCCTCGTCGCGGAGGCCGCCGTCGCACCGCAGCCGGAGCCCGTCGCTGCGGTGGGTGCCCACCTCGGCCGCTCCGGCGGCCACCAGGATGCGCAGCGCCTGGCGCAGCCCGTTGACGGAGCTCCTCCACGTCTTCCCGGCTCGGGGCGTAGCGCACGCGGCCCTCGCCGTCCACGTGCCCCGCGCCGCGGTCGCGGACCAGGGCGAAGGCGTGCGCGGTGCGCGCGTACCGGAGCATGCGCTCCTTCATGTCGCGGCCCGACTCCCAGGGGATCAGCGAAGCCCAGCACCCTGGCCCCAGCGCCGGCGTCTGGATGATGGTGCGGCCGGTCACGCGGTGCATGGTCGTGATGATGCCGCCCTGGTAGCACTTGCCACTGAGCTCTGCCGCCTCCGGCGTGCCGTCCGGGAAGTAGCCCCACGCCATAGACACCGGGTGCAGGTGAAGGTTGCGGCCGATGTGCCTGTTCTTGAGCCCGCTGTTACGGAGCAGAGGTGGCGTCATGAGCGCGCCACACGCCGAGACGGAAACCTTGGCCTCGATGCGCAGCTTCTTGGTGATGCCGTCGCTCATGCACGCCGCCACCAGGCCCACGCACTTCTTGCTCCGGCCGTTCTCGACGCCACCGGGGTTGCTCTCGAGTATGAAACGCTCGGCCTTGCAGCCTGTCAGTATGACCGCGCCGCGCGCGACCGCGTCGACGAGCCACGTCGTGTCGGTGCCACGCTTCTCGCCGGTGGGGCAGCCGAGGTGGCAGCTGCCGCAGAAGTGGCCCTCCGACGAGTTGCGCGGCACGGCGTCGCCGCGTAGCCCGAGCGCCTCGCAGCCACGGCGCAAGACCTTGTTCTGGAACCCCTCCTCCCGGCACCCGCCGGTCACCGCGAGCCGGGCGCAGACCGCGTCCATGGCATGCACGTACTCGGGCCTCCCGAACATCGGGAGCCCATGCTCGCGCGCCCACTCCTGCGTGACCCACTCCGGCGTGCGGATACTGGCCGACCAGTTGATCGCGGACCCGCCGCCGACCGTGGTGCCCGTGAACATGATGGTCGTCACGTTGGACGTGCAGAAGATGCCTCCCTTCTCGTAGAGGCGCTCCATGGACGGGCCCTCCACGGAGGTGTAGCTCTCGGCTGTGAAGTAGTCCCCCTTCTCCACGACGATGACCTTGTGCCCCGCAGCCGCCAGCACGGCGGCGGCCACGCCGCCTCCGCAGCCTGAACCGACGATGACGACGTCGCATCGCACAGTGTGGTGCGCGGCCGACACGTCTGCTTTCACCGCCAGTCCTCGCTCCGTGAGTGACCTGAGCAGCGTGGCGTCATTCAGGGATCTGGTCTCCACGATGCCACTGTCCAGTGGCCGCGGCGACGGCGCTACTTCCGTTCGACCTTCTTCCCGTGGCCTGTCCACGTCCGGCTCCGGCACGCTGTATCCTATTGCTTTCCAGGACGGGTTGTCCCTGTCGTCGTTTACCTGCACGTTGGGAAAATGGCACCCACATGACGATGACATAATTAATTAACCGAAAGCCACATATTTGCAACCGTCATCTCTGAGTATTATTAGGCCCCCGCTGAGTACAACCCTGGGTAAGCTGATTGAGCATGTTCTTTTGGCTTTGGTTCTACGAGCAGCTTATCGATAAAGTTGACATTTGGTAAAATAGTTTTTCATAGAAAATTGGGAGATAAGACAAACTAGTATTTTCAGCTCATCCTAACATCCACCGTCTATGAGAGTAGGCTTAAGGAGCTCCACCTGAGGATTAACATGGCATGGCATGTAAGCTTGCCACGCATCTCATATTGATATACAGCCTGTTCGTTTGGCTGTGGCTTGTCGTAAACGATCGTAAATTTTTAGCCGGAACAGTATTTTTCTTTCACACAAACCAGCCAGCAGTACTTCTTCACGAACTAGCCAACCGAACAGGCCGATATTGTAGTACTCCTTCGGTTCATTTTATATAATTACTACATCCGTTATTTTCACTTTCCGAGAAGTCAATTATTTATAACGCTGACCAATTATATGTAAAAGAATAATAATATTTAAAATATATAATTAGTATCATTAGATAAATCACGAAATATATTTTCATAATAAAATCTATTTAGTCATACAAATGTTGCTCATATTTACTATTAAGCTAGTCAAACTTGAGAAAGTTTGAACAGCGCGCATCTCATAGCGTCTTTCTTCTTGGGACGGAGTGGGGAGGTGTATAAGATATGGAGGTCTTTAGAAGCATACTTTCACCATCAATTTCTCCGATATGGAGGTCTATAGCATGTACGACTGCTTAGCGACTTCGATCGGTCCATTTCTCCGATGTGGGCTGTGGCCCCAGTCGCCAATCACACGTGGGAGCCCGGAGCAGGAAACCAGACATGATAGAATTAAATAAGGAATAACGTGGCTACTGGCTGGCTAGCTATAGCTAGAGCTAGCTTTCATCGTTCTGGTTTAACTTATAAATCATATTTTTTTAATTAATAAATAATATTTTTTTTTATAACAAATTTGTCAATAGTATTTTAAATAATAGTTTATCAGTCAAACGAACGTGTTACATGCTCTAACCTTCCCGGCTGCTGGCTGCTGCATGAATTCTCTTGCCGCCCGAGAAGTCAAGAAAAGTCCCTCTCACGTACGCACTACCGAATACCTGCATGCTTTCTAGAAATAATGGTAATTTAACGCCAACTGTTTGCAGTCCTGACAGTGATTTTTGTGTGTGCGCGCGGGCGCTGGTACATCTATCAGGTAGTTAATTTAGTCACAGTGACCCTGACAGAGTTTTACTAAATATCAATGGTATATAGTAGATTTTTTTGCCTCTCGTCCATGTCGTCATCACGTCTTATATTAGGCTGGGTTCTTTGAAACCTCTAGTAAAGTTGCCAAAACGCAAGAGGATATCGATCGATCGAAGGACCTTTTCCACACGTACGATGTATAGGCGATTACCACACACGCCATCAATGTGACTAGGCGGACTAGCACGGCATGCCAACATGCATATGCTACGACAAAGACTAGAATTATTAGAGTGATCGCCACTACATGAAATAAATAACTTAAAGGCGATAATAATCTCAACCCTTGCAAGAATAACACATGCATGTATGAGGAAAAACTTTGTAATAACAACGTGCATACCATTGTGTAGAATGAGTAGTGGGAGAGGAGTTTGGTGATCAGGAAGGTGATCTTGAGGGGAAACAGCCACCGCGCCTTGCTCCACCGCTTCAGCACCTGCTCTCTCCGCTCCACCGGCATGTCCGCGAACTTGCAGACGAACGGGAACTTGCCGTTGCCAGATAAGCACAGCCGGCCGCAGAGCGCCAACGTGCCCACCCTGGTGCTCAGCATCCACAGGATGACCCTCATAAGCCGCATCGCCTCCCATACGCACCGGGTCACCATCTCCGCCACCTTTTCATTTATCAATCATGCATCATCACGAACAGAAGTAATAAAAGAATTATTATTTTTATTATTATTAGCGGAGAAATTTAAATATAGAGGTAGTAGTTCCAGTTTTGTCCTTTATACACACACACACACACACCATGCGTGCTTGTGCTGTCCATGCATGGCACCATGCATGAAGGCATGGATAATCGTAGTCTCTCGTAGCTCACCTCGTCAGGGATGACGCCGTCGGCGGCGGATGCGCGGTAGAACCGCTCGAGGTCGTCGTCGCCCTTGCCGCGGCCGGGCTGCTGGTCGTCCCCCTCCAGGAGCACGGCGGGTAGGGACGGGATGAGCGCGCCGCACATGGCCCGGAGCGCCTCCATCTGCGGCGGGCGCAGCCCGTGCGTGTACCCGTCGCGCTTGCACCTCCGCAGCAGCGGGCTTCCCCTCCTCCCCGCCGGCGGCGGCTTATTCTCTTGCGTTGCCATAGCAGCTGGCATGGGTTGTGTGGCGTACGTATCTCTCTCTATGAATATACTGTGGCGCCTCGCCTCGATGTATATATAGAGAGTAGAGACTAGAAAGAGAGAGGAGGGCTCCGGTCCTGTTGATTGTTGTTGAGAGCGAGAGCTGCTTAGGGCTGTTGCATCGGTCTAGCTTGGGAGTTGGGAAGATGCATCTCATTATGCCAAACCCACGCTACGTAGCAACGCGACGCGCAGCGCCAGGAGACGCTTGCAACATTTTCAAGAATAAATAAACAGGGCGCTTATGCCTCACAATTAGCATGGGACGAGCCACTCATGCCGATCGAGATGGCGTACGTGTCACGTACGTCCTTTCTGAATTCTGATGTGATGCAAACACGCATGCATGTTTGCCTTGCTTCCCAACAGACCGGTTACTATGTGATAGAGGAAGATTGGACACCAAATATACTCTAACAAAATGAAATAAATAAAAGTTCCTATAGACTGTTTGGTGGAAATACTACTACTACTACGTAGAGTAGTATATATGTGATATGTCCCGATGTGTCAGATCGAACCGGCCACTGATTTGGTCTCGCACCGGCCCGCCCAGCGTCGTCTCAAAGACGGCCAACGGTGCGCCGCCGGCACGCAAAAAAGCAAGTAGCAGTACGGGCACTGCTTTCCGAGCTGAAAAACTCATCTCGACCAGACTTCCATCCGATTTTGATTTTTAAGCGCCTCAAATTGGACTGATGACCTGTGTATGGCCTATGGGCACAGGACCCAAACAGCACCTCAAGTAAGTGTGTAAAGGTGCTATCCGATCCACTCCGATTGGGTGGAAGTTGAGACGTGATTTGGCGGACGCGGCATGAGTTTATCGAGAGATCATCATGCTCTCACGTCGCCGTCGCTACGTCCTGCATGCCAGGTTGGGTGGTATAGGTTATTATTGGGCCCGTTCGGCTGCTCATCAGCCCCAGCGCTGCCAACGGCTGTCGCGGCTGCTGTTGCGAGGAGGAATCACCGAGGAAAAAGTTCGTCTACTCCGTTCAACTTTTCATAATCTTCGATTTTCCTCCTCACATGCAGAACTCGATTTTTGTCCCTTCTCTAGGCAGTTTATACGGAGGTTTTGTCCAACGTGACACCATGTCTTCAGCTGTAAGGCGGTAAGGCCACGCCCAACGTGACACCATGCATGCACGTGGCGCGCTGCCCCAAGACTCCACGTTGGCATTGATGATCTCTGTCTAGGCAGCCACAACGCAGCTGCTGAAATCGTATGCCTCGGATAAAAAGTCACATGCATGCCACGTACTTGAAGAAGAAAAGAAGCTAAGGGATCCACCAACGCAGGCTAACAAGCATGTTGGCTTGAACCAAAAGGTGGATGAAGAGCCTTGGGCTCCTAGAACTCCTAACCCAAGATAACGCTGCACATTTAACAATGACCCACAATTTTTATGCCTGGGAACACAACTTTTGCTTTTGCTCGTAGTTACACAGGATTCTTGCCGCACTCAACGCCAATCCTGGTGTTTGCCTACAGCTTTTGTTAGGTGGAGACACTACTACCTCTGCAAGCTTCTTTGGCTCAGAGCTACAACCAAACATGACACGGAGGATCGAATCAGACATATGGACGCTAGAACTCCCATCCACGGTGGCGCGTTGGGGAAGCCCTAACAATCTCTCAACGTAGGCCTCTCCTCCTGTCACAAACACCAGTTTCACTTTTTTTTTATTTTACCTCTGACAGACCAGGAATAAATAAGCTGTGTAGACTAGGGTCTCATCCACCCCAATGCGTGCTATATGGGAGCTTCTACATTTTGTTGGTCCAAGCCTTTGTGACCTCCGAAGGCAGCATTGACATACTGTGGGGTTGCTGTTTTGTGTGATCTGTATACGGTGGGCCTATTTGTTTCCCTGCATCATGGTGGCTTGTATGGATAGCCAGAGAAAGATTGAAATAGACCATGCTAATCGGTTGCAACTGCTCATTGTTTGTTTTCGATGTATGAAGTCGGCCAGGTTGAGATAGCTAGTGTTTGGTAGCCTGAACAAATGAATCCACTCACCTCGCATCAGCTTATGTGTAGAGTTACCACTACACCATGTCTCTCTTTTTCCCTGAGTCTCAACACTATTCTACTTAGACATTTTCACTGGCCACCGCGGCGGGGTCGTCGTAGAGCCGCACCATCGACGAAGTTGTTGTGGTAGTGCTTGGGGCACAGCGGAGATGAGGTCTCGGCGCCACAGTCGCTGTCGCGGTCTGAGGGCCCGGAGGATGAGATCGTCTCGATGTCTATGAAGGTGAAGAAGTCGTCCTCAGAGCTGATATCGTCGAATGCTTCACCGTCAGGGCCGGCGGCGCCGCTGAGGCCGAGGTCGTCCAGCAGGCGGTGGTGCGCCATATGCCGGCGCCATCGGTGATGGGACCAGAGAGGATTGGCAGGTCCGGGCACGCGCCTGCTGGCTAGCTGTACGTAGGCACACCTCTGGCGCTGGAGAAGAAGGGGGTGGGCAAGAAACGGGGGATGCTATAATTTGGCTGGCCGGATTTATTGGTAA